ATGTATTCCGTTACTCCCCAACACTGCATATGTCTGTGTAGGTTCTCAGTCATCCATGTCATTCCAAGCTCCTTAGATTGTACCGCATATATCTTTAATATCTTCAGAAAACAAGAAGTGGGTGCATAAAGGCGAATTTATTTAGGATTTTCTGTAATCTGCACAGGATTCAATGTGTACATATAATTATTTGGTTAGCAAGTTGTACGTCTGACAGACACTTTTGATCATTTACAGGCTCCTGGCATAATTTTGGATGTTTGACCACTCTTCTTGGTGGAATTAGCAGGATTTACTAATATTAGCTGGTTTCCTGGCAGGGACCTGGCTCTTAAACATAGTCCACAAATTTTCAATAGGGTTGAGGTCAGTGCTTTGGGAAGGCCATTCCAGAAACTTAATGGACCATTTCTAAACAACTGCAAATTCCAGAATTATCCATTTAAAAAACTGAACATGAGGAAGAAAATATTCAGATTATTTCACCAGTTTGCTGAGATCTGGAAGACCCAAACTGCCCCCTTTAGATGACAGATGACTGGTTAGGATGTTCAGGAACAACCCAGGAATCACTAAGGATTAAGCCTGCCATGAGCTGCAAACAGCTGGAACACCAGCATCAAAAAGTTTCACTTGACCACAGACTGTGAGGGTGCCAACCAAGAAAGAAGCCCCTGCTCCAAAACGGACACCTTTAAGCTTGACTTAAAGTTGCAGCAGCTCACAGATAAGCCGAATGTGTTCTGGAGACAGGTTTTATGGTCAGACCAAATGAACATTTCTGATCGGTGGTTTGTAGCTGTTTTAGAAGGAAAAGATTAATAATGTTTTTGTGCTTATGAGAACATCAAACAAGACAAAGTTATCCTGTTTAATGTGTATTCATTTGCTGAGGCCAATAGTTGTTTTCCACCCCAGCTCCCTATGTCACTCAGGCCGGGACTCTATCTGGCTGCTGTTGTGTAGCCTCACGCTGAGGTCTTATTGACCTGTGAGGTAAGCAGCTTTAAAATATCAGAACAGTGTCATGTAAAGTTGGTAGACTGAGCAAAGCCCAAATAGGAAACATGATTTACTTGAGGTTTTTTTTAAATACAAAATAATAAAATTTGATATTACTCTGTAAATCTGAGGGCAGATATAGCACAAATCCTTGTAGCCTCTAATTTAGCATGGATTGCATGTGTTACAGCCCCTCAATCCTCCATGTTTCCAGTGTTCAGAAGAAGACTGGAGTTCATGCATTTTTTAAAATCCCTGCACTCCTTTGCATTTGACACTTCACTGCCAGGTGGTCCTATTTTCTCCAAAGCCATACCAGTCAATAAATAATATTTTTCTATGACAATAACAAGATTCTGCAAAAAGTCTTTGGTTTGAAAAGTGGCAGAGCAGAAAATCTACTCCTGTACAAATGATCTCCATTCTTATTAAACGGAATGACTATTATTCCTTGGTGCCAAAGGGAAAGGAACATCAACATATCATCACAGTGTAGAGGCTGGAAGCATCATTAGATTAACCTTCTGGGTGTCCTGTGGTGAAATATGATCACTGGGCCTCTAATGACGGTCGCAATGAATAGCAGATCTATTACTTCCCCAAGCATCAACCGATACTGAAGCGATTAGATGACAAATCCACTGACAGAATATCAATCAGGAAATATTTCATGACAGATTATGAACTGTCAGCGCGCTTCTAGCTTCTAAGATTTTACTATTACACTATTCATACTATTCTGACGGGTTGTTTTTGTTTTTTAACGGTTACAAAAAGATAAGAGATGAAGTCTGTTTGTTCTTCTTTTTTTTTATTTGACATGCACATTTTATGCACTAAACGGTTAGTTAAAGAAAATAGGTGGTAGATCGAAATAATTTTATGAAGCCTCAAAATGTTCATTATGTCGATTTGTAAAATGATTTTGTCTCTTTAACTCCTTCATGGTGTCCCACGGGTCCACATATCAAGTCCTTTTTATCTTGGAGAAACTGGGCTTGACAAGCACAGCATGAGAAACACAACCTGCGCTGTCTCTTCTCCAGGTGTCTCAGTGTGAGCTGGGTTAATTCTCAGCGGACGCTGACGCGCACAAGGTCTCTCTCGCTCTCCCTCCCTCCCGCTCTCCCTCTCTCTCTTTCTCTCCCTCCCGAGGTTCCCTCCTCTATCCCGTTTCCCCTCCTCTGCACCTGCTCCTCCCCTCCTGCCTTATTATCCTCAGACTCGGAGCAGCGCTCCTTCGTCCTCGCCAAGTGATGCTCCTCGTCTGCCCGCATCACCTACATCACTGGTTTATCACAGCCCTGCTCCGGCTCGTTTTGTTTTTTCTTTTCTCTACTGAAAACAAGCACTGAAGAACGAGTGATGGGAATTTAACCAGGCTTCCGTGAGAGAGCAAGAGAGCTGGAGGAGGGTAGGAGGACGAAGAAGCACGCAAGTCCCATCAGAGAGAAGAGGAGGGGGAAGAGGAGGAGTAGTGGGGCACCGGAGAGACGGTCCCGCCGGGACAGGGGGGAGAGCGGCGGAGGATTGTGTGCTTTACATAGTTTGCAATGGACTCAACACGCTGCTGTGTGCGGGCGGGTTGTTGGGAATCAGCTCAGTGGATGTAAGGGAAGAGCTTCTTGGAGTTGCGGTCGGCCGTTCTTCGCCTTTCCGTTTGCGATGGAGTGAGAAAGACCGCGCGCACGGCAACTTCATACCAGCCATGAAATCTGTGTTTTTCAGCCGTTTCTTCATCCTGCTGCCCTGGGTCCTCATCGTCATCATTATGATTGATATCGACAGTAAAAGAACGATCCGGGCTCCAGCAGCCGGTCGGACCGGCAAGACGCAGCGAGCCGTCCGAAACGGCGCACCGGGGATTGGTGGCTCTCAGAACCAGTCCGCCCTGCCGATTATCTACGCCATCACTCCCACTTACAACCGTCCTGTGCAGAAAGCGGAGCTCACCCGACTGTCCCACGCCTTCCGTCAGGTGCCCCGCTTCCACTGGATCGTAGTGGAGGACTCGACTGCGCGCACGGAGCTGGTTGCGCGGTTCTTGGCCCGGTGCGGGGTGCCGTATACCCACCTACATGTGTTCACTCCCCGGAGGTTCAAGCGCGCCGGGATGCCACGCGCCACCGAACAGAGGAATGCGGCTCTGACTTGGCTCCGGCAGCACCGGAGCAGGCGGGACTCCGGTGTGGTTTTCTTCGCGGATGATGACAACACGTACAGCCTGGAGCTGTTTGAGGAGGTAATGCCTTGCCTTTGTTGTCACTTTGCGTCATAGTTATCTTTCATCACAAGAGTATCGTGAGTGTGGAGTGGGTCTGCAGAAGTGTGGAGTAGCATCTCTTACTTTTCTCCACTAAAATCTGTCGTTTTACGTTTGCGCATGACAACAACATCCACACAGGTCTATCTCCGTAATATAAACTTTTAAATACTACGTAACTACTGCGTTGCTTTGTCACCTGATATCTGTGTATTACCTAGGTTTGATGTGAGCTCCTTTACTCAGTACATCTTCACTCTCAGGGTAAAAATCCGACTGTCTTTGCGCCAAGCCCTGAAAGGTCACAGGAATTCCCCCTAGTGGTGTTACTGCAAAGAAATTCAATCCTTCACAAATAGAAGTCCCCCAGTTGTCTGTGTAGGTTCTCAGTCATCCTTGGAAAGAAAAGCAACTTCAGTGAAGAAGCTTCTCGGATGAGAGGTGAAACACCTTCAGGAAACTTAAAGAAGTCCTGTCGCTTTTCTTTTCAAGCTCTTTAAATCCTCCAGTTCTTCATGTTGACAGGATCCCACTGGTAAACACCCTGCCTGGGCTTCAGACCCCAGCCTTCCTCAGTCTTAGATAAAATGGTAAAACTGCTCTGGTTTTAAGCGATTGTGTCCAAAATGAGAGAGACTTTACCAAATGATGAAAATGAACGAGATGAAAAGAAAGGAGTAAAGACAAGGATGGGAAGACGGAGAGCTGAGAAGAATGAATGGAGACTGGGGTGCTGCAGTCTTCTGTCTGTTAGCCCTGAATTAATTTAGTTAGCACTGGATTTTTTGGAGCTCTTTGAGAGTTATTTTGAATTTCAGGAAGGTGTACTTTTATAATTACTTAGATGGATATCAACATTAAATATTTCATATAAAATGTAAAATGCTCTGAGGCAATATTTCCCCTAATAAGAGGCACTGAAAATCAAACTGCACTGACTAGATGTGGACTGCGAAGCAGACCTAATGATATGCCAGTATTGACCTTCTCGACTAGTAAAGTGACACCTCCATACAGAACGTCTACATCCCAGAGTGTGCTGATGCATGACTGTTGTTTGTATCTTTGGGAGTTTCTTTTAACAGGCATGCTTAAAGTGAAGCCTGGGTGTATTCCTTTAGCAAAGTGCGTAGGTAATGAAGACAAAAACAACAGAAGCATAATAAGCAACAAAACAGTCCTCTCATAAATGAGAGTCTGGAAGAATGCCTCTAATTGCCCCTCTCACTGATTACTGCCCATCACTGATAACTGACTGCAAATCTAAAAGTACTTTAGTTTGTACCAGTAATGAAATTTTAGAAGGCAGAGCATTGTGAAGTAAATTCAGAATAGTGCAACTCTATATACACGTATGCATTTGTATATTGATTTTCTCTATCTGAACATTTCCTGGCACGCTGCAGAATTTAAAAAAAAACAAATGTATGTTTACTTAGAAAGCCTTTTCCTGTATCCATCACTACCACTGCCCGTCACAATTTCCTAAAGCCCTTCATGTAGTTCTAAATTGCTTTTTTCTGTGGCAAACAGTCCAAGCTCCAAAAGCACACAATTTGCAATGATGTAAAATCTATTAAAAACAAACAAATATTCACATTTCAGATCCAAGCAACAGTTAATTTTTGCTCAATAAATTACTTAGTGAAGGTTAATAAATTAGTAAAAATATTTGTAGAGTAATTTTCTGTAATTTGTGCTCATTATTTACACCATACAGAATTTAAATAAAATAAATAAACAGAAAAAAAAACTAGAACTGCAAACACATCGAGAAATATCCTCATTTCTAAACAATATATTGTTATAAGTGCAGAAGTCAGTCCTATTTAATTGAAATTCGAACCTGACTAATACCAATGCCAAAATATGGTGATTTAAAAATCCAATGTGCCATATATATATGTATATATATATATATGTGTGTGTGTGTGTGTGTGTGTGTGTGTGTGTGTTCTTTCATAGACAGGAAACAAACAGATTATTTGTTATGTATACTTATTCACTTGTTCACTTGCTCTGCCCATCTCTCTTGGAACAACTGATTGTTGTCTGTGGGAATCTGACTGTGTTTTCCGAACAGGGACGTGGTAGAGTGTCCCCTAGTGGACAAAATATGCAATGTTTCTTCTTCATTATTTATTTTTTATTTATTGAAATCGTTCAAATGCCGATACAGTAGAGCAGCTGACATCTGTAAATCATAAATTACAGTTAAACTACTGATTCAAAGTGCACATATTTGCATACAGAGCAGCACTGAAAAAGGTGAAAGGCTAACATTGTAGATTAGAGGAACAAGGACAAGAGTGAGTGGTTGACTTATTGATCTATTGGACACTCACAGTGCTAACACAGTCTTCAAACTGATGGACCTAACCAGCAGGTATGCAAAGGTTCAGGTACAGACTTATTTCAGACGAGCAGTGACGTGATTAGGCTTCCTTCTTTAGACGATTGTCCAAATAAGTTCACCATCCAAGACATAAACATAAAACACTAAACATAAACATTGTTTGAATGTTCAAAGGGCCAATAAATCCAATACAGCAGAAGTAATTATTTACATCACTTAAGAGCATAGAAATTCTAATATAACAACAATAACATGCTGACTTTAGAAAGCACTCCCCTCTGTTGCTTACTCAATGGTGCACTTGGGCAAAAATCCACACCATCCTGAGCCCAGAGTACCAAAGTACAGCCTCCTCTGAGTCTCAGTGCTGTATTCGCTGACTTTGGCGGAGTGTAAAGGCCGTCCATTTGATTTGTTGATAGCACATTGTCTTCTCTCTGTCCTCCTTCCTGTTTCATTTCCCAGTCCTCTGTGCAGTTAATGGCCTGTCATAGAGAGATAATAGGCTGTCATACAGCAGTAATAACCTGCAGAAACTGTCCGCAGCTTTAGACTGATGACAGTAACTTTGCTCAGTGGGTGGCAATTTCACATTAGGAAACCTTACATCATTTCAAGAACAAAAATGATTCATGCAACTGAAAAACATTATTTCACTATAAACCTTCAGAAAAATATATCCACTGTGAGATTTTAATGTCATGGCAGGCATGCTTCTGTAAATCTAGGTATTAAAGGGTGAATTTAGATGGTCTTAAGCCTTTCATTATACAAGACAACCTTATGGCTAGAAAGCAATCTCTTCGTAGTGTGACTACACAAAAGTTATAGTCTTCATCTTGTTTTATTTCCCCCACAGTTATGTATGCTAATACTAAAACTGGATCCTTGATCACTTGTCATCAATAGTTAATTTCACACACCTGCCTCATAGGGATAGATAGAAAATGGGCAGTCAGGGTGTATCTTGTAGTGTTAGAGGTACAGCTGCTTGTCACTGGGCCCTAATGTACAGCTGCTGTATCCTTTGCAATTTTCTACAATTTAGAAAATGCTGTAAATAGTTTCTGATGTGTGCCATTCATCAGAACGTAGGTGAACAACACAAAAACAAAAATGGTATGTTCTGACAGCAAAGTGTTAGGGGCATCAGCAATGATGACTAACACCTCACAGGGTTAAAAATGTGCTAAATTAGATACAGGGTGCCTATTGATGTATTGTATATCATTATTCATTCACACAGTTGGAAATGAACTGTTTCAAATCTCTATCTTTCCTCACTGGTAACAGAAGGAAAGGACAATTTAAACCCATCCTTTGCTGTGAGACATTGGGACTAACTTCTGTTTCCATCTTTCAAAAGGCAAACAGGTTTTTGGTAACAACTGGCCCTTTTTATTTTATCCCTACTTCCAAGCGTGTCTATGCTACATTTTTCATTGTTGTTGGTCAAATATTATCAAGACATACACATTGATTAGGACGTCACTTTATGTTTTGTTTATCTTTCCTGGAGGACAAACTATGTAATGGGCACATGTCTGGAATAAGCTAATATTTGGCCTGACAAATATAGGCGATTTATTAGCTGAGCTACTTAACAGCAGTGGCTGAGTGATTACAGTGAGCAGTTACCTTTCATTATAGATAAGTAAATATTATAGATAAGCCATGGAATTAATGTACTATACTTAGAGTGAAGAAAATCCAAACTTAATGCATTTTTGAATGAACAAAACTAGACTGAAAAGTGAGAAAAAAAGTAAAAGTATTGCTGTTCTCGTGTCTTTCTTTAAGAATTCAAATTTAACAGCCTCTGCTAAAAATTACATTTTAAAAGCAAATAATGATTTTCATTGTATGACTTTGTGTATTAACCCACCCACTTATGCACCAGCTCCACAGAGTAGAGGCAATTTTAACATGGAGATGAAATCCTTCAAGCTGGTGTAAGCTGCAGTACAATTATGTAACTGATCATTTATATAATTTATGGTTACTGCTGGATATATTCAGGCTGAATATATAAACCTCATTCAGTATTTTGAGATTAGCCTCTAAACTTGACCATTTTGCATGTGGCTAAAACAAACCCTCCTAACCTCCTCCTAACTTTCCATGCTAGCTCTTTAGCTAGCTCATAGGCGTGCCATGAGGAAATGATCAGGTGTGCCATGGAAGATTATCTGGTTCCACCTGATTAGTACTCTAAGCCCCTGGCATGAGTAACGGGCAGAACAATTACATTCTCTTCCACTAGAGGGCAGTGCAACTACTTGCTCTAATTAAATGGGTTGCCAACTGCCAGTAAAACAGAAGAAGAAGAAGAAGAAGCAGCGAGATAATAGTCACGATGCAGCGCCTAATAGCAATAGATAAATATCTGAAAAGAAAAAGTAGTCAGTCTGAAAATTCCAAGCCAGATGAAGGCCCTAGCATGAGTAGTGCTCAAAATGACATTTTTGTTTGGTGGTGTGCGCGTGATTTTTCTAAAGTGAAGTATGTGCTGTGGCTCCAAAAGGTTGGGCAACACTGCTTCAGAGAAGCTGAAACAGACATACAAAGACAAAATTAGATATACACATAATCAAGGTTCAGGCCATTACGCACTGAATGTGTT